ATAAACGACAGTGGTACCCCTTTCGTTTTTTTCGGGCGAAAAATTAAGTTTCTCCAATCTTCTCAAAACTCTGGATTCTGATAGAGGACCATGAGACTTAACCTGAGTGCAAAAATGGAGGCTCTAGACCCTTCCAGAGCTGAGATATCGAAACTCAAAAATTCGACCCAAAAAAAACGACAGTGGTACCCCTTTCGTTTTTTTTTTCAGGCGAAAAATTAAGTTTCTCCAATCTTCTCAAAACTCTGGATTCTGATAGAGGGCCATGAGACTTAGACCTGAGTGCAAAAATGGAGGCTCTAGACCCTTCCAGAGCTGAGATATCGAAACTCAAAAATTCGACCCGAAAAAAAAAACGACAGTGGTACCCCTTTCGTTTTTTTTTTTCGGGCGAAAAATTAAGGTTCTCCAATCTTCTCAAAACTCTGGATTCTGATAGAGGGCCATGAGACTTAGACCTGAGTGCAAAAATGGAGGCTCTAGACCCTTCCAGAGCTGAGATATCGAAACTCAAAATTTCGAACCGAAAAAAAAACGACAGTGGTACCCCTTTCGTTTTTTTTTTTCGGGCGAAAAATTAAGTTTCTCCAATCTTCTCAAAACTCTGGATTCTGATAGAGGGCCATGAGACTTAAACCTGAGTGCAAAAATGGAGGCTCTAGACCCTTCCAGAGCTGAGATATCGAAACTCAAAAATTCGACCCGAAAAAAAACGACAGTGGTACCCCTTTCGTTTTTTTTTTTCGGGCGAAAAATTAAGTTTCTCCAATCTTCTCAAAACTCTGGATTCTGATAGAGGGCCATGAGACTTAAACCTGAGTGCAAAAATGGAGGCTCTAGACCCTTCCAGAGCTGAGATATCGAAACTCAAAATTCGACCCGAAAAAAAAAACGACAGTGGTACCCCTTTCGTTTTTTTTTTTTCGGCGAAAAATTAAGTTTCTCCAATCTTCTCAAAACTCTGGATTCTGATAGAGGGCCATGAGACTTAGACCTGAGTGCAAAAATGGAGGCTCTAGACCCTTCAGAGCTGAGATATCGAAACTCAAAAATTCGACCCGAAAAAAAAAACGACAGTGGTACCCCTTCGTTTTTTTTTTTCGGGCGAAAAATTAAGTTTTCCAATCTTCCAAAACTCTGGATTCTGATAGAGGGCCATGAGACTTAAACCTGAGTGCAAAATGGAGGCTCTAGACCCTTCCAGAGCTGAGATATCGAAACTCAAAATTTCGACCCGAAAATAAAACGACAGTGGTACCCCTTACGTTTTTTTTTTTCGGGCGAAAAATTAAGGTTCTCCAATCTTCTCAAAACTCTGGATTCTGATAGAGGGCCATGAGACTTAAGCTGAGTGCAAAAATGGAGGCTCTAGACCCTTCCAGAGCTGAGATATCGAAACTCAAAATTTCGACCCGAAAAAAAAACGACAGTGGTACCCCTTTCGTGTTTTTTTTCGGGCGAAAAATTAAGTTTCTCCAATCTTCTCAAAACTCTGGATTCTGATAGAGGACCATGAAACTTAAACCTGAGTGCAAAAATGGAGGCTCTAGACCCTTCCAGAGCTGAGATATCGAAACTCAAAAATTCGACCCGAAAAAAAAAAACGACAGTGGTACCCCTTTCGTTTTTTGTTTTTTTCGGGCGAAAAATTAAGTTTCTCATATCTTCTCAAAACTCTGGATTCTGATAGAGGGCCATGAGACTTAGACCTGAGTGCAAAAATGGAGGCTCTAGACCTTCCAGAGCTGAGATATCGAAACTCAAAAATTCGAACCGAAAAAAAAAACGACAGTGGTACCCCTTTCGTTTTTTTTTTTTCGGGCGAAAAATTAAGTTTCTCCAATCTTCCCAAAACTCTGGATTCTGATAGAGGGCCATGAGACTTAGACCTGAGTGCAAAAATGGAGGCTCTAGACCCTTCCAGAGCTGAGATATCGAAATCTCAAAATTCGACCGAAATAAAACGACAGTGGTACCCCTTACGTTTTTTTTTTTCGGGCGAAAAATTAAGTTTCTCCAATCTTCCCAAAACTTTGGATTCTGATAGAGGGCCATGAGACTTAAACCTGAGTGCAAAAATGGAGGCTCTAGACCCTCCCAGAGCTGAGATATCGAAACTCAAAAATTCGACCGAAAAAAAAACGACAGTGGTACCCCTTTCGTTTTTTTTTTTTTCGGCGAAAAATTAAGTTTCTCCAATCTTTCCAAAACTCTGGATTCTGATAGAGGGCCATGAGACTTAGACCTGAGTGCAAAAATGGAGGCTCTAGACCCTTCCAGAGCTGAGATATCGAAACTCAAAAATTTGACCCGAAAAAAAAACGACAGTGGTACCCCTTTCGTTTTTTGTTTTTTTTCGGGCGAAAAATTAAGTTTCTCCAATCTTCTCAAAACTCTGGATTCTGATAGAGGGCCATGAGACTTAGACCTGAGTGCAAAAATGGAGGCTCTAGACCCTTCCAGAGCTGAGATATCGAAACTCAAAAATTCGAACCCGAAAAAAAAACGACAGTGGTACCCCTTTCGTTTTTTTTTTTTTTCGGGCGAAAAATTAAGTTTCTCCAATCTTCCCAAAACTCTGGATTCTGATAGAGGGCCATGAGACTTAAACCTGAGTGCAAAAATGGAGGCTCTAGACCCTTCCAGAGCTGAGATATCGAAACTCAAAATTTCGACCCGAAAATAAAACGACAGTGGTACCCCTTTCGTTTTTTTTTTTTTTTTTCGGGCGAAAAATTACGTTTCTCCAATCTTCCCAAAATTTTGGATTCTGATAGAGGGCCATGAGACTTAAACCTGAGTGCAAAAATTGAGGCTCTAGACCCTTCCAGAGCTGAGATATCGAAACTCAAAATTTCGACCCGAAAAAAAAACGACAGTGGTACCCCTTTCTTTTTTTTCGGGCGAAAAATTAAGTTTCTCCAATCTTCTCAAAACTCTGGATTCTGATAGAGGACCATGAAACTTAAACCTGAGTGCAAAAATGGAGGCTCTAGACCCTTCCAGAGCTGAGATATCGAAACTCAAAAATTCGACCCGAAAAAAAAACGACAGTGGTACCCCTTTCGTTTTTTGTTTTTTTCGGGAGAAAAATTAAGTTTCTCAAATCTTTTCAAAACTCTGGATTCTGATAGAGGGCCATGAGACTTAAGGCCTGTTCACACCGGGACGAATTTCGCGCGCGATATTCGTCGACGTTTAACGCCTCGTGACTAAACATTGGGCGCCAATGTGAGTGTTCACACCGACGCGAAAAACGCCACACGTAAAAGCGTCATTTTTAAAAAACGCCTCGGGTTCGTTTTTTTGGTTTGACGCGCCGCGTCAAAACCTATCCGACCAACGAGATTGGCGGGTTTGCTCACGTGTCTGGTACTTCTGAAGTTACAGTAAAACACAACTTGGGGGCGTTCAAACACAAAACGGTCTTGCCGAGCACACATACGGCGAAGAAGAGACCCTACAAGGCAAGATACCTGGGCAAGATGAATGTTGAGCTGCTGGTCTCGGAGCATAAAGAGAAGCCAAAGCAATTGTGAAGCCACAACACGCACAACCTTGAGGCGGATGGGCTACAACAGCAGAAGACCCCACCGGGTACCACTCATCTCCACTACAAATAGGAAAAAGAGGCTACAATTTGCAAGAGTTGACAGTTGAAGACTGGAAAAATGTTGCCTGGTCTGATGAGTCTTGATTTCTGTTGAGACATTCAGATGGTAGAGTCAGAATTTGGCGTAAACAGAATGAGAACATGGATCCATCATGCCTTGCTACCACTGTGCAGGCTGGTGGTGGTGGTGTAATGGTTTGGGGGATGTTTTCTTGGCACACTTTAGGCCCCTTAGTTCCAACTGGGCATCGTTTAAATGCTACGGCCTACCTGAGCATTGTTTCTGATCATGTCCATCCCTTTATGGCCACCATATACCCATCCTCAGATGGCTACTTCCAGCAGGATAATTCACCATGTCATCATTTCAAATTGGTTTCTTGAACATGACAATGAGTTCACTGTACTAAAATGGCCCCCACAGTCACCAGGTCTCAAACCAATAGAGTATCTTTGGGATGTGCATCCCACAAATCTCCATCAACTGCAAGATGCTATCCTATCAATATATGCCAACATTTCTAAAGAATGCTTTCAGCACCTTGTTGAATCAATGCCACGTAGAATTAAGGCAGTTCTGAAGGCGAAAGGGAGTCAAACACAGTATTAGTATGGTGTTCCTAATAATCCTTTAGGTTGAGTACTGTATATATACATGTAGGCCTACACTATTTCATGTTCTGAGAAACATTCTCAGAGACTTTGGTATTTTTGGCAGTAAGAGATTAGATATTTTTCTCACTGCATATTAAGCGAACTGACCTTCATCTGAATGACACCATGACTCGGTATGCTCTCAAACACATAGATGATGTCAGAAGAAGAAGTGTCTTTGTCATGAGCACTAAGCACAGCACTGGAGATCAGTCTGGACTCCCCAGCCTCCATCTCAAGGCCAATGTTTCTGCAAATAAATGATAGTGTGTGTCTTTCTTTGTCTAAAACATGTCTAAAACATTTATGGTTTGAATGTATTGTGAGGTGACCAATTCATAATCATATGTTACAACAAATAAACTAATGTATAATTTATTGTTGAATAATAGGAGAGCATGATTTACTTCAATGATATTTATCTGCAATTACCGTATAATTTGTGGTTCCTCATCATTGACAGGCAGTACGTTAACCTGTACGTGTTTCTTGAGCTTGTGTTTTCCGTCAGAGAGCTGAACAATAAATCCGTCCTGCTCACTCTCAGAGTCATCGTGCATGTACATCAGAGTCATGCCTGAGGACAGAGTAATAAAATATATTGTCGGATATGTCACTAAAAAATACAAAAATACTAAAATTAATCAAAGGACCCATTAAATTAATCAAAAGTGAGAGTAAAAGATTTTCAGTGATATAACATATATAAATATATACACAGACACGGTAGGTAGTAAACCAATTATTACTACCATGGGTGTGACACTCATTCGCGAAATCCCCACTAGGTGGCACAAGGGGACATGGAAAACTGCTCAGTAATTGTGACGTTTTTACTTGCAATAAATAAAATAATGAAATTACTGGCAAAACATATATTACAACTATACTATATTATCAATATATTGCTTTGACTGTAGTCAAAAGAAAAACGTAAAAGACTTTAAAGGGATACTCCACTTTTTTTGGAAATAGGCTCATTTTACCACTCCCCCAGAGTTAAACAGTTGGGTTTTACCGTTTTCAAATGTATTCAGACGATTTTTCGATATTCAGAAGAATATCAGTAACCAAACAGTTTCTGCTCCCATTGACTTCCATAGTATATTTTTTTCCTACTATGGAAGTCAATGAGACCAGGTCTGGTTACTGAAATTCTTCTAAATGTCAGAAAATCGGCTGAATGGATTTGAAAACAGTAAAACTCAACTGTTTAACTCAGGGGGAGTGGTAAAATGAGCCTATTTTCAAAAAAAGTGGGGTATCCCTTTAAAATACAGTACCACTCCTGAGGTCATCCATAGTGAAGTGCTCCACAGGGATCTCAGATCCACGCTTGTAATGCGTCACATCATTGCCGTGTGGGACACTCATGATGGAGCCGTGCCGAGGCTGCTGGACTATGCTGAACATTAAACGGTCTCTGGGAACATCAAGATCCACTGCACTGATTATAGATGGGTCCAACTCTTTCATGTCTCCCTCCCGAACCTGAAAGACAAACGTTGGTCATCACATCTCAACATTTCTTGATACAGATCATGCCAAATGACAAGTTTGAGCTTCTGGAGGAAACGATGAGGTTTGTTCTCGCAAGTTGAGCAGGTTCAGTTGAGCTTCTGTTTGTGTTCACTGATCAGCATTTATTTGAGAATAAAAGCCTGATGAAGCAAGGTTAGATGTTGTGGGAAGGAGGCGGAAACCGGCTAATGTTTAAAGACTTTAATAATCATAAAATAAAACAAACACAAAACGAAAGTAAAGACAACAGCCCCTTATGGACGACTGCCTCCACATATAAATCGTCCTGGCCTGGTCCGCTCTCATCCTTCACTGTCGTCGCTCCTTCTTTTATGCTTCTGCTTCTCCTTGAGAGATACGAGACCAGTTTGTCACGCAGGTGTCACTCATCACCAATCTCGTCCTGCTCACCAAACCTCAATTAAATCTGGTCATCATATAAAGCGATCGTGTCTCTTCAGAAAATTTTGACTAAATCGCTCAATTCATATGGATTAGTTTTACGATCTCTTTATGAACTTTTTGAAGCTGTCAATGGAGGGACAGAAAGCTCTCAGATTTCATCAAAAAGATCTTCATTTGTGTTCCGAAGATGAACGAAAGTCGACATGAGTGAGTAATTGATGAAAGAATTAATTTTGGGGTGAACTATCGCTTTAACTGTAATATGTTATTTGATATTACATGTTGTTCAAACCCCGTCACACCTAATGTTAAAATAAATACTCTTTTCATTTCTTAAAGGAGCAATGTGTGACTTTTAGCGACATCTAGTGGTTCGGTTGCGAGTTTGCACCAGGTTTGCACTAAGGGCTCAGCCCACTGCTCACCCTCCCTTTCGAAGAAGCTACGGTTGCTAAAACGGGACAAACATCTCGTCGGCTGAGACAGCAGAGAATAGCCAGAGTAAGCCAAGAGTGTGTAACATTGTCACTGTTTCTGTACCACAGTCCATTATAAACCACATCATGAATACTGTCTGTTTACAAAGCCATAGTCAGGTGAGGATCAAGGGTTTTAATATATAATTTAATAAAATAATAATCAGCTGATTGTCTCACAAACGTAACCAGCAGCACATTTCTCCCCACATACTGTAGCAAACCCATAATACAGCGAGGGAGCAGCTATATATTTTTTCTAACAGGGTAGTAATAGTTTAGCTGGCTAATATGAGCTGTTACTGTGGCTGAGCTGGGACGCGTCTGCATGAGTCCAAAGGTCGGAAGTGTGCGCGCGCTGTTACAATCATGTCATCTCCGCATCCCATAGATACTATTTACTACACACAATAGGCTTTTTTTCTCTGATTTTTAAAATTCTTCGCGATCGACTTTAGTGATAAAAGACTTTAGTAAAAGTCTCTATCGACGGGTTAGTGATTCCTGTAACGTACTGTTTTACGGTCAATGACATGAATACTAATCATCAGCTGTCTCACGAACGTAACAGCACATCTATCCCCAACATAACAAACCCATAACACAGCGAGGGAGAACTAAGTTACATGAAACAATCCCAACTACATATTTTACACCACTCACAAGGGAAAAGTCACTACTCACGGGGTGTAAGGCTAGCTTCCAGCTTTCCGCTACTTCTCTTTCAAGGTAGTGATGAAACGCGTTCTGTAGCGCTGTTTGTTCGCGTTCGGCTACGGTAGGAATATGACGTCACAACATGGCGACCTTCATAGAAGGGGATTCCCTCGGTTATGGAGCTATTAATGTCTCATTCTAAGGTAATAAAAACATTACGGCTAATTAAGTAAGTTCTTTATACACAACTGAAAACATAGTTATGGATGTCATATTGCATTTCTGTTAATAGATACTCAACTTTGTTACACATTGCACCTTTAATTAATGGCATATAAAGTTATCAGAACTCTATACGCGTCCAGTTGTTCAGCATCAAAGCCAATGCAAGTATTCGTTCATCAACTTTAGATACGTCTATTAAAATGGTAATCAGTTTACAAAATAATCGAAACTTGACTGACTGCTTCATTTCCACTTTAAGGTGAATTTAATTCTCTGATGGTTCTCATTAGGTCATTGTGGTTAAAGGGATACTCCACTTTTTTTGGAAATAGGCTCATTTTACCAGTCCCCCAGAGTTAAACAGTTCAGTTTTACCGTTTTCGAATCCATTCAGCCGATTTTCTGATATTTAGAAGAATATCTGTAACCAGACCGTTTCTGGTCTCATTGACTACCATAGTATATATTTTTTCCTACTATGGAAGTCAATGAGACCAGAAACGGTTTGGTTACTGATATTCTTGTAAATATCAGAAAATCGGCTGAATTGATTCGAAAACGGTAAAAACTCAACTGTTTAACTCTGAGGGAGTTCTAAAATGAGCCTATTTCCAAAAAAAGTGGAGTATCCCTTTAACTGATTGTAAACATTGCCATTCTTTTCTCTGTATCTACATTATGTGTTGTGCTTAGTTTAGCTGTATTAACCTTTAGTTTCATTTAATAAACCTAGTACAATGTATACAGTAAGAAAGCCTTCTTGGCTGTGTTATTTACAAGATGATTCTCTGACTGACCGTTATGTTTCTGGCCAGGAAGTCTGGAATCTCATCATTGGTCGGACTGATGATGATGTAGAACGGGACTGAAGAGGACTGCTGTTTCCCATCGGACACATGCAGCATGATCTGGTCAGTGGTCGGTTCCATCCTCTGGTGTCTAGACTGAACATAGTTAATGTGTCCATTCAACACATCCCTGTAGGTGAAAGAGGCTAAACGAGGAAAAAAATAACAATTCAGGCTCCAGTATTACCATATAATATACCAATAAAGTCATATTTTAAGCCAGTTAAATACACATAACAGAACTGGCTCACCGATACTGATTCCCATGTTGCTCTTTTCAAATCCTGGACTAGGCAGGATGTTCTCTATGTAGCCAAACTGTGGAGGAGCAACCAGGATGAGCTTAAGATCTTCTGGAGCAGAGTCTTGGTCTTCAACTCTCAGATGGGTCACCGTGATAGAAGCTGACCCTCCTTCATTCACCACAAACACCTCTCCTGATGAGAGAAAAACAATGTCATGGACCCTAACATGTCAGCAACAAGCAGCAAATGCTACAATATCCCTTTGTGCCTAATGTACTTCAAATGTACTTGTAGTGTACTTGTATTTTTTTTTAAACTAATTGGAGACAATAGAACATGTTGAAATACAAGCCACTTACTGTAAGTGTACTTTTATGGCTCTTTCTTTACACACTTAAGTGCACTTTGTAATAATGTCAAATTTTCAATGTCAAAAGTTTTCATTTAAAATACATTTAGAATCAGAATGTCCTGTATTATAATCTTTTGTTGTGCTTTAAAGTACATTTTTAATGCATATGTAAAGTTAAGATACTTTAATTATGCTACATTGAAACGTCTTTATTACAAATGTGTAATTGCAAATCAATTTAAAGACAGGACATGCAAGTTTTAATAGAAATGACATTAGTTTACCATAAATGCTCGTCACTACATTCGGCAGTACATTAAATTAACTGGACTTAATATAAATAAATTTTCATTTAATTGCAATTGACATGCAATTAAGTGTCTGAAATCATTACATTCAGTTTACACTTAAGCTTAAAGAAAATTGTTTTTATAAGAAGATACGAATGTTCTAATTCAATAACATCAGAAAGAAAAGTGTTCTCATTACCAACAGCAATAGATGGTGGTTGGTTGTTCACAGGATAAACGGTGATATTAAGGTCATAGACAGGAAGGGAATTCTGTATTTCAGGTGTTTGTGCACTGAATATAGTGGCTTTGTCACTGCAACAGGAGGGAAGTAGCCCTGATTCTCCATCAGAGATCACAAACGTGACAATGTCATGACGTGGTTGTAGCCCAATCTCGTGTCCTTTGGAGTAAAATTGATAAAAATGTGTTACTTCACAGATTTATAATCATATTTAACAAACAATATCAAATGCATTTACATACCTTTGCTAAAAAGACATGCATTGATTGTGCACTTGTAGTGTACTTCAATTTATTTTAAAAACTGTACTTGCAGATAATGTCTAAATTAAATAAAAGGTCACTAAAGTGTACTTACAAATAGTAAGTAGACTTTCGTGACTGTTTCTTAATCTTAACACGCTTAAGTACACTTTTAAAAAGTGCACTTTGTAATAATGTCAAATTAAATGTACTAAATTGCAACTTATGACAAACATGACATTCAAGTTTTAACAGAAATTATCGACATTAAAGTATACCATTATAAAGTTTACCATAAATGCTTGTCAATACATTCAGCAGTACACTATATTTCAACAGAAATAATTAGGAAATTGCATATAAAGATGTGCTTAAGTCCAACTAAAGTGGGTCAGAAAAGCACCTTGAAGTTTGCTAATTGCATTTAATAAAAAAAAAAAATTACTATAATAGATTATAAGTCTCTTTTTGAAAGTATGCTTAAGTGTACTTTTTCACAAGGCTAGGTCTAAATACAGTTGGATATTAAAGGGATACTCAATTTTTTTTTGGAAAGAGGCTCATTCTACCACTCCCCCAGAGTTAAACATTTGGGTTTTACCATTTTCAGATGTATTCAGCTGATTTTCTGATATTTAGAAGTATAGCAGTAAACAGACAGTTTCTGGTCTCATTGACTTCCATAGTATATATTTTTTCCTACTATGGAAGTCAATAAGACCAGAAACTGTCTGATTACTGATATTCTTCTAAATATCAGAAAATCGGCTGAATACATTCAAAAACGGTAAAACTCAACTGTTTAACTCTGGGGGAGTGGTAGAATGAGCCAATTTCCAAAAAAAGTGGAGTATCCCTTTAAGTTACAGAAAGTGAAATATAAAAAGTGAAAGAAATACATTACTACTTTTTTTATATTACCTGTGTGTCTATAGGAAATTAAGCCAGCAGTTACATCTGCTTGAATGAAGCGGTCAACCACGATGTCATTTCTTTGAACTACCCCATGATATGGCTGTCTGGCGATCATGTACATCAATGTGCTGTCATCGCTGTCAGGATCTGTGGCACAGATGTACTCAATGGTGATGACCACTTCCTGTCCCTCTGCACAGGCTAAAACGGGTTTCAAACCTGGCACTAGCACTGGCGCCTCATCATTGACTGGCGTCACCTGTCAAACATGCATTTGTTAGACGTTTCTTTTGTGCTAAAAAGTAATTGCAAGATAAATCTCCATTACCTTGACATGTAGTTCAAAGTCAGCAATATTTATCCCATCCGTGGCAATGAATTTAATATCATCATGTTCTGTCTCAGAGCTGTCATGGTGATATCTGTTGAGACAAAATAGTCAAAACTAAAGATGATGTAGAATGAACCAGCGAGCTCAAATACAACTTAAAGTGTTTACGATGAACCCAAACAAACTGTGATGAACCACATCTGACCTAACTTTTAGGCTTTTCAGATCCCTGACTGTGAAAGTCTGGCCTGGACTCATAGCTGTGCCATCCAGGTAAATACTGCCATGCTGGGGTTTCTTCTTCAGCTCCACGTGCAGCGAGTCCTCGAGCGAGTCCTGGTCCTTTAGACGCACGTGTTCTTCACTCACCCAGCTCTCTCCACCCTCATCCACCGTCAGCTGTCTCACATGTACCTAAAGACAAAAAGAAAACACATCTTAGCACTCAACTACCACTTGTGAATGTATAACTTAGTTCTGATATCTACAGTGTGATTAATAGAGCAGTTTAGTGGAGAAACTATATCCACTCAAACATGTTAATCTCTTTCCAGCTCAACCTAAATCTATATCTCAATCCCAATCTCTTTTTTGGCCATTTTTCAGTGAAAATTGGATTACTTAGAGCAGAAAAGTAAATTCAATAAGTACCACCAGAAAGCACTATAATTATTTTCTGTTCTGGATTGGGTAGATGAGGGCTACCTCTGGTGCCAGGTTATCCACTGGCAGAATCGTTATGTTGAAGCAGATTCCAGCGGTCATGCTGCCTTGCTGGTTGGTCACCGACAGGATAAACTGGATGTGCTGAGGGTAGGGTCCAATGTCCAGGATGGGAGGCATGTAAGCAACTTTCATGTAGTTGACTGCATTCTATAAAGAGAGGATCATTTACAGCTTCAGTTGCTTATTGGGATATCTAACCCCAGTTCGAAAGATTTACCTGAGTGAAAAGTCTCAGCATCGGGGCATTTGGGTCCTTTTTAAATTTTGGGATGCTATCAACCAGAAACAACCTTCCTGCATCAGACCCTCTGTGAATCAAAATGTACTAAGCATTAACATCATTCTGAATTCCTTCAGCACATACATGTTGAGTTATATGCTGCAGGTTTGAATTGAACGTGTCCTACTGTGGACCTCATAGGGTTCTAGTTTAATTTTGTACCCATAGGTGGTGCTGTAGAAAGGTGGGGTGGTTACGGTGTATGTGAGCTCACTGTCTGGTGACTCCAAGTCAACAAAGTGCAGCTGTTGCTTGGTCAAGTAGGTGACATCAGTCTCATTGACAACCAAGTGCCTGGCCACACCCGGTGCCTCTTGTGGAGGCTGATCAGGGACTGGCTGGATTTGGATCACAATGACCTGCAAAGATTACCTAGTTAGTGAACAGCATGTGAACTCAGAGATTAAAGAAAACAGCAAAAAGATGCTAAAACCTTCAGTACAACATGGGACTACTATTTGATAAAAGAGGGAATGTTTAGGAAATCTGGACCTTACCTGAGGCTCTGAAAGATTAGGAGGGTCATGAAAATCAGAGAGCACCACCTCAAAAGAGTCATCAAACACCTCACTGCCTGAGTGCCGATAGTAGATGATGGAATGGAAGAGGTCCTTCTGAAGAAAACGGGTAACAGGGTATCCTGAGGGGAAAAAAAATGTTCCAGGTGTATTTAAAGCTACACTGTGTGATTTTTACCAGCATCTAGTGGTGAAAAGGTATATGACCATCCAGTAAATATTAGTTTCTGTTCCTCTCAATTCCGATTTCGTTTTAACTCCTACGGTGGCCAATGTAGTCCAAGATTAACATGGCTTCCAGTTCGACCTCGTCCATGAGTGTTAACTCAAACGTAAACACGAAAGGCGAAGCTTGAATTAACGGGTATGTCCCTCTTTGGCTAATGTACTTTCAAGATGGAGGGGCAACATGGCGACCGACATTAGAACCCCTTACCCATATGGATTTTCAATGGCATGTTATACACTCACAAGAATACTTCATTACTTGAACGAAGTAAATGTACATGAATGAGCACATACATTTTTGAAAGAACTAAGTGTTTTTAGCTAAGAATAAACTAAAAGAGTTACACAGTGTAGCTTTAAAGGACACCTGAGGAAAATAAATTCTATTTTTTACATATTCTTATGAATGAACTGTTTTTTCAATGAAACATGTGAATGCTGTTTATTGGGGTTGTGGGTGCTTTGCTAGTTAGTTTTAGATATTATGAGATATTATGGGTTGGTTAATAGGGTGTTACTAGGCGGTACCAAGGCTGTTCTGTGTGGTTACTAGTGAGTTGCTAGTTTGTTTGAAGGGTGTTATGATTGGCTTCTAAGGCAGTCGCTAAACTGGTTCCTAGTAGGTGGTTAAAGTGAAATTAATTGATTTGGCGCATACTACTAATCTAAAAACATGCATTTAGATTATGTTTTAGTTTTCCTACAACCCTTTTCCTCACCTGTTATCTCAGGACCAGGCATCTTCATGATTTCCCCTGCCTGAGGAGGTCTGGTGATGTTGAACATGATGTAGTCGTCACTTGAGTCCATATCACAAGCTTGCAAAATGGATCCTCTCAAAAGACCCGTTTGACCTTCAGACAGCTCCAGCACCATATTGGTAATGAGGAAGGGTGGACTGTCATCTTTGGGCAGGATGTTGATTGGAAACTTGTGTCTAGTTTGATGTAAACCATCAGTAATCCGGAAAACTATAAAATCTTTAGTAGTGTCACTGTCATCATGATGGTAGTGTACCGCACCATCCTTAACATCCTTCACCGTGAACATGAAACCTTTTCCACCTAACATACAGATAAACATGCAGTGGTAGTGAGATGTTGTGCAAAATGCAAAGATTACTTAACTGATAACAGATTAATATTTCCAAATTGAGGAGATCATCTGTATACACTCAAAAAAAATTATATGTTGGCTTTAATTCATTTTAATTCGTCAACAGGTTCCACATAACTGGGTTACGTTAAACAAACATAATTTGTTCATGTAACTTCAACATAATAGAATTATGTAATTTTAAATTACCCAATTTAAGTAGTCTCAACGTGAATTTTTAAAGGATTCCTGAAATGATTCAAAGGCATTTTATTATATTCATTCATCCATTTATATTTCATTTGATTCAGTGACATTTAATTAAATTAGTAGACTTTAGCTAGCTATTTGCTAGCAGAAACACATATTAGCATCTTGAATGCTAAGATTTACATGCTCCTTCATTCAAAGCAATTGAAAATAGTGAAATCAGTCGACAGCCAAACAAAATGCTCCACTCTTCTCCACAATGGTAACCCACTGTAATTTAAATGCTTTAATAATTCCAACACTCTAAAAAATGCTGGGTGGTTTTAACCCAATTTTGGGTAAAATATGGACATATTTTAATATTAGCCATTGGGTAAAAAATGTCATTTAAAAATGTAACCCAATGGCTGGGTTTGTCCATATTTTACCCAAAATTGGTTAAAATAACCCAGCATTTTTTAGAGTGAATGTAATTTAACATTGAACACTATTACACAATATGTGTACCTCTAACAGTTAGTCTGCCGTGCTGCAGGCCATCCACAGTGATGATCCTCACAGCCTTCAGGTTGTCATTGTCAACAATCTGCAGCTGATCCCATGTGATTGGACGGGATTGACCTTCCAACAGACTGAGGCCTATTCATTTGATAGAAATAGGGAGAAACTCATTTGTCTGGCATTCATTAAACATCCTAATCTTTTAAATTATCAGGTACTGTAACTTTCTGAATTTTCCTTCAGGGTTCAATTAATTGTCTGGGATTGATGATATTTCCGTGGCATTTAATCACCCCACTCACTGCGGTTTTGTGTCATATTTAATAAAGAAAGTTTATTTAATTTCATTAACAGCCCACTACCCTTTACATCCAGTGTGATTTTGGCAAGTAAGACATATTCTTCTAATCTAACACGTACCCTTAGTATACTTGAGCGTACATCACTAATCACTAACAACACTAATTGCAATTCAATATAAATTATTGTAATTT